TAAATTAGCGTTTGGACAGGTGCTTATTATTGAATTTAAGCATGTGACTTTGACTTTGACTTTGACTTTGACTTCGAAAATTTTGACTTTGACTTCGAAAATTTTGATTTTATACTACGTTTACGCTAAACCAATTGCATACTTAATACCCAAACGGTACAGATTAATTTAGAAGTTGGAAATCGAGGACATTTTAAGTACATTCTACACATGGGAAAATATATTTTAGGGACAATTACAATCCTACTTAATGCGATGAACATTTAACGGCGGCGTCGCCCTCGTGCTGCATACATTTGAGTCGCTATGTAGTCTCGTTTAGCTTTCCATTCCGCCAGCTCTGCAGGAGACACGTTTAATGCGAACGACTGAGGTACTAGCCCGCCTATTTCTGGCTCTTCATTTAAGTGCACGTCTTGTGATTCAAACCGTTGAAAATGAGCATCTTCTGGTTGGTGCATCCTTAAAAAGTTGTGCAACGCACAACAAGCAATGACTATACTGATTTGAGTGCTCATATAGAAATTATCTACCGGACCCTTTAACCATTTGAATCTTTTCTTAAGCACACCGAATGTGCGCTCAATGACATTGCGAAGTTGCGAATGTCGAGTATTGAACAAGGTCTTTGACGGAGATTCGGACCCCACGTTCTTATACGGGGGCATGAAACCAGGAGCATTCCTGTATGCCGCATCAACTAAGTAGTACTGGCCTATTTGACAAAGTTATTCTAATTAATAAACGCGATAAAAAATAGGAGTTGTGGTAATAAAGCATAGCACATGCTTGACTTGAAATATTGGACCCATCACTTACCAGGTTGCGGCAGTGGAAAATCGGACGGATATGCTAATGCTGACTCCAACACTCGCGCATCGTGTGCACTTCCCTCCCATCCAGCATACACATAGATGAAGCGCATGTCATGGTCACAAACTGCCAGAACATTCTGTGATTGCCACCCGTGCCGATTTGTATATGCCATTTGCTCGCTTGTCGGAGGACAAGCTGAGATGTGGGTGCCATCCATCGCTCCCACGGCATCCTAATATGTGTAAAAAATATATAATCAACTTTATAGAATCGTCGTACTACAGAGTCGCCAAAAATCAGTATTCTTTCCACATTACCTTGAACCACGGATAAAAATTAGTTGAGTTTGCAATTCGTGGATGAACTGCAGTCTGGTCACCCGGTCGTATTATTTCAGCTGCAAATAGACACAGGCCTCGGAGCACCTTTTTTATATTTCGATTAATCGTCTCGATGGATCGATCAAAAATAGTCCCCAACACACGGTGCGTATGCTTGTGGCTGACCAACATTAAAGTCATAGCAAGCGCCTCCTGTATGGGCACGCGCTGTTGGTAATTGTGTGGAACGTACTGTCTCTCGATAAGGATATTGGACAGTAGCAAGAAATTATCAGTCGTGATACGCATGTTGTCTATTGAGCGTCTATGATGACCGTAGAGTACGCGTTCCACCCACTGCCTATCTGTGAATGAACCATCATGTTGCGGAAGTGGTTGATTATTATCCACGTGTGCAAGTGACGGATGCATTAACATTAACGATGCACTCATAAGAAGTAAGGCCTCATCTTCCTCATCTTGCCTCATGCGGTCCGCATTGCGTCCTCTAGCACCACGGCGGTTGTTCCAGGCCATGATAAGGGATGTATATAGCTGTATATATGTTTATATAAGCATGTTTTGTATGAGTATAACCAATTCCATAAATGTGTTAATACCACTTGCGTATTGGACATAAATTAAATGTCAGGAATCTAGACATGTCCCATTAGACATAAATTAAGTATGTAATTGGTCAGACATGTCCCATTAGAGACTTCATCATCCTCTCAAACCAATTACGTAAAGTAGCTTTATGGAGTATAAATTAGCAATATGACTTTTAAATAGAATACTATGCAATATGACTTTATAGCACGTATTTGGCAATATAACTTTTAATACTAATATATTTATAAATGTATAAATGTATATTATTATAAATACATATAATTATAAATGAATATTATATAAATGTATAAATTAATATATTTGTGATTTATAATTTATATATTTTTATATAAATATACATTATGCATTTATAATACAATTATAAATATTTATGAATAAATATATTTATTTACTTATATAAAACTCTTATAAATATATTATAATTGTATTATATTATCTATTACTATAAATAAATGTATAAATTATAAATAAATGTTATTATATGAATGTATTCCTATAAATATCTGTTACTTTTTCAATTCATTCAACTAAAAAGACAAACAATACATTTTGAGTAAATAGATTATTTACACAATTTTATTTACTTATATCATAAATATAAGTTTTAATTATTTTTTATTTCATATACGTCACCTAAAAAAAATGTTATTTATTTATTTATTGTTTTCAAAGACACTCAAGCTAGAACAACACATTACAACCTGTGTATCTGCATGCTTAAAAGTAAAAATTTACTTCCTTTAATAGGCTTTCTGAATCCTATGTCGAGACATATCTATAAATGTAAATCATATGTATAAATGTATAATTAATATTATGTATATTAATATAAATGTATAAATGCATTACGTGAGAGGTTATAAAACAACAATCCAAGCCTAACGAAGTCCAGTCCGTACTATATCAAAAAACCCATCCGACCAGGTTACTCAATTCGTAACACCTCAAAATATTTATTATCACTTTGAAGCGGTAAAATATGAACGATTAGTCACCAATAACTCGTACAATGCATTAAGTGAGAGTATATAAACGGCTACCATACAAAAGATCTAAATAATGGCAAGATATTGAATTTAGATTGCAATTTTATAACTGAAAACATTCGTCTACAATTTACCTCGCTTCCAGTGGCACGCACGTAGTTTCCGGTTGCCACACGGCGAGGTGCACACAGCTACCACGTTAATTAAGAAAAGGCCGCCACTTCGTCTTGACGTTCTGTCTTCTATCCTCTTCGTTCGTTTTTCAAAAGAGAATTGCAGAGGCCAGTTCTTTTTATAGAGAATTGCACTGCTTAAATGTGAAGAAACAGTGGGAAATGCGCTGATCTACATTGGAGTTTTTAGAGAACTTCCACCACAATTTTCACTTTGTCGTTTCATGAGATATATTTGACATGCAATTGGAATGCTTTATAGCACATGTATTTCCGCAATTTATGGCCCTCGTCAGAGGACACGACACAGAACAAAAAATGCAAATAGTGGAAACATACGGAGAAGTTAACTTTACAGAGACTTTTTTATTGGCCATCTAAAAGAACTAGGGATAATTTCAGAAACCTCCCTTGAGGTTTTTTAGAAACAATTTCATTTAGCTCCCTCGAGCTTTTAAAAATTACACATACCTCCCTTATCATTTAATACTATCCTTAAATATTTTTATGAAATTTCCTTGTTATATTTAGAATGCCATTTAAAATTATTTTTTTCTTTTTATTCCTTTTCTTAATTTTTTACCAATAAAACTGTACAATCACCACTATTACCTCTATTTTTTAATGTAACCAAATGTCATATCTAGTAATCCAATGTTTTTGTTGATCTTTATTTTTTGTCTCAAAATTAACAATAAATAAAAAATAAATGGTCCAAAATCACATCTAAAATTTTCAAAATCCCACTACTCAAAAAATTCATAAACTTTAAATGAATTATTTGAACATCTTCTTTTCTATCTTATAAATTTAATCTATAATAAATACCATCAAAAGTATCCTATCATAATGATAAATTATTATTAATATTATTGTTGTTTATCAAATACTTACTACTACTACTAGTAGGTATAGACATAAAATTAAAACTCATTACTGCAGGTCATTTTAGGGTATTCATTTAAAAATTTGACCGAATCAATTTATTTTAAGATTTTGTTACTAAAACTATCAAATCAAGGGAGGTAAGTGTAATTTTTCAAACCTTAGGGGAGCTAAGTAAAAAAATAAATAAAACGTTAGGGGAGCTCTCTGAAATTATCTCAAAGAACTAGTCACAAATGCTATAGAACCCATGTGCTTGTCAGCAATTGCAGTACTAGGGCGTGTCAGCTATTTGTTCTTCAGGATTGGTGTTACAGTAGTTTGCGTTAATGGACAAAAAAGGTGCATGCTCTTTTTTGTGTCCTCTGTCTTCATTGTGAGGACCATATGCCAGTCCAAGAACGCATGTAAATATCTCCATTCCATAGCTCACAGTTCCATCTCCAATACCTTTTTCTCCACGTTCAAGTTCCTATAGCAATCTAAAAATTTCGAGGGACTGCAAGGAGATTTGAAGTGTGAGAAGCTAAAATTCTCCAGAATGCAGCATCCTGCTTTCCAATGCTTGTGTGAATGGATGTTCAGAAAAGAAAAGAAAAGAAAAGAAAAGAAGTACCACAACCCTGAGATTGCAACGTATTCCCTCCTGGGCTCATTAAAAATTTCCTTGGCAACTTTTGAAACTAGACCGACATACCAACAAAGGGCTGATGATACCAGATAATATAATAACCAATTGTCAGACTCAAAATCATCAAGATAAGGCAATAGTAGTAATACTTTTACTTGACTCCCTGCTTCCCTGCTGTGTGGAAGACCATAAGTGAAAGAAATAGCTACAGAGCACCAAAACAGTAACAATATCCATGCATCTCCAAACAATAATAATGAATTGCACACCAACAAAATGAAAAACTTGGGAAAATTGAAACCACCGGAAGCAAAGAAACACATCTCTGCAGGTCCTCTATTTCTGCAGCTTCATTCAGAATTTTTCATGAAATGTACCATGCAGCATTTAGAATTGACAATGACAGCAAATTTACTGAACTAGTAAGAATAGCATTCAGAAATCTCAATAAGAGTGTGAACTCAACCAGGAAAATTCCAGAAAAGAAAAGGCAAACGGTATTTTCCCTGCAACATAATCCTCTGGCATGAATAAACATTTTTTCTTCACAAGAAGTTAATAAATATCTCTAATATTATATGGACAAGTAATCCACAAACAACCACGTTATACAAGTACAATCATCCACAATGTACTTTAATAGTACAAACATTTCACATAATTGGCATGCCTAGGCCAAGCCTTTTAGCTTCATCAACTTGAGGATGTAGCCGTAGCGATCGGCTGCAGAAGCTCTAAGAAAAATAATCCTTGCACCCTCGTTCTCATATTTGGCATAGTGATCACATGCTTCAAGTCTCCACTCGTCCGGAATATCCATTGAGGTGATCACATCCTGGCACTGCATTATGCCGTAGAGGGAGTCGAACTCCGACCTACTCCGTCTGTCCTCAAGAACGAAGTCGGTGTAATTCCCGATCTTGCTTATAGCATCCTCAAGACCAGTAGATGACCGTGTCGATTTTGAACCTCTACTCCCTTCAGGTTCACCACTGGTTCCTAAGCTTGAGGCTGACCGTTTTCCTCTAACTGCACCAGGAACTGGGGGAACATAGTAGACGTCGTCGTCATCCTCAACTGCTGGTACGTTCACCGGAGTAGGCACCCTCGAACTAGAGGCTTGACCTTTTCCCTTCCGATTTTTAGCAACAGTGTTGGACCGTTCTCGGCGAGGCGGTTCCGATGGAACTACCTCGCTTGCAGACTGGGCACGGCTGCCTGTGGCATGTCTTCCAAGCAGTAGCGGTGTCAACCGATCGTACCAGTAGCATGAATTCTCTTTTTTGAAGTCAACGTACGAGGCATTGGTCTGGTGAAATGCAAATATGAAGTGAGCACACAGGAATTGATAGTGTACAAGGAAAATATTATTATAAGATTCGAGTTATTTTAACAAGGAAAATGCTAATTCAATTAACTATGTCAATAGCTAAATCCAGGATCCAAAACTTTGTCGATAGCTAATATTTCTGTATATTAAAGAAAGAGTTGTGAATGACAAATCACCAGCAGCTAAGCCGAACAATTTTCACATTTTGCAGTCAAATAATCCAATCAAAGCTAATCCAGTTAATCCGTCTGCCCAGAAAAGAATGGTCAACTAAGCGAAGGATAATCCAACTTCAAGTAAATCATATCATGGAAACAAGAACCCAGATTTATAAATTTACTCACTAATGCTGCCTTGATTTGCTACTATTACATCTTACTTCCAATATAACCCATACAGAGAGGATAAAAGAATCCAAAGCCACAGCTGATTACTTTGTGAAGAAACAGAAAACACAACCAAGCCTCCAAAACACACTCGAAAAAAAGCAGATTCAGCAAGAAAGACTTAAAATGAGGATGAATAAAAAAAAGAAACAACTTTTTTCGTCGACAATGATCAGAATTTCAATAAGTGGAGCCATAAAAACCAAAATCAACCAAATAATCAGCATCCCATTTCACGAATTGAAGGAAATGCACTAATCGACAAGTCAAATTCATCGAAAAAAGCACATCAAGAAAGAAGAAAAGAAAGAACATGAAAGATTAGATAAAAAAAGGTTGGCACTGCAGCTGTCTATGCAAAAAAAAAAAAAACAATTTAAACGAGAGTAAAATAGCAAAGATGTTTGGATATCAATTTGGGATGTGCAGATAGAGGCTTGACACTAACTCATCACTTTATGAGAAGGCCATTCATTAGTATCATTATAATTGACATCAGCAGTGCAGGCACTAAATAGAATACAATTGGTCATTTTCAAGTTTCGAATGGCTCAGAAATTTCTTCATATTGCTCTCTAAAGTTCATAGAAGTGCTGCTGCTTCTGGTGTGACTTTGGCGAGAAGCTTTGATAAGCTCATAATGAAATATTCCATGCATCTCTGAAATTTGCTTTCTTGTTTTCTTTGTTTTTTCAAACGTGTCTTTGTATAAGATTTTTAATTCTTGAAATTATTTTACACTTTTTATGTCCAAACAATTATGTGAGTTGTCAAATCAACAAAAGTACAAATGCCATGCCCGAATGCTGGAACTTGGAAGGATTGAGGAAGATCATAGCTGAGGTGAGATATTAAAATTATCTACTCTGCCAATAAATAAACCAGGACAATCCTGATCAAGATTCAACATTCAAAATTCAAAGTTACAGTTGGTAATGGTCCCAACAAGTAACAACCTTTGCAGGAAAAGATCTGCACGGACCATATTAATTGAACAGGGACTTTGATTTCAGAAAAGGTTATCCAGAATTGGATATATATATATATATATATATATATATATATAACAGTTACAAATTTGACTAAAAATGTTTAGCAAAATATTAAAGTACTAAATTTTCTCCTATAAACAACTCTTTTTTTTTCCTCCTTTGTACTTTACAACAAATAGAAGACACCAAATTTAGTCTCAACTAAAAGGCATCAAAGCAACTAAAAGGCACCAAATTTTAATTAAAGCAGGCCTGTTAAATTATTGAGACTAAGGATAAATAAATTCTTGCGAGGATAGGCCCATGCAGTTATGAAAAGGGATGTTATAGATGGAACAAATGAATTGTTTAACTTTTGAGTTTCATGAAAAGGGATGTAACCCGAGTTGTCATCCGAATTCATTGAAGCTGTAATTTTTTTTATTATGTAAAATTTCATGCGCTTACTGAAAACTCTAAATATTCAAGTTATTTTAACAAGGAAAATACTTATATTATTCAGGAACCTCCCCTTATAACCCTTTATAACCCAAATCTAGTTCTATTCAGAATTGAATATGTAGTTGTGCACCAAATTACAGGTTCTTTTCATCATTCAATCTAATAAGGTAATTGTAATGACTGAGCTACAAGATTAACTCATCAAAAGACTTCGAGGATTGAAAATAAGACGGAATAACAAGTGGAGTCAGCATATAAAAATTGATTAAGTCACCGGAAAATCAAGGATGAAAAGGCATCAAGGATTAGACACAAGTGAGAATTAAATAACAAGTGCAGTTTAAACAAGATTGAGTGCTCAGATTTTAGTTCAATAGGGAATCTGAAGTCACCTTTCAAATCTGAAGTACAAAGAAATTCAATTAACAGAAGTCAGGGAAGCGACAAGTCCATACCTGCTCCAAGTTGGCCCAATGTTCATCATCAGCAGTGAAACAGTAGCTGTCCTCACTCCACCCAACCCCGGTCTCTGTTTTTGATGAAATCCCACGCAGATTGCAGAACAGGTCCCATTTCTTCTTGATGTGATAGAATCTGGTCTGCAATTGCTGGCCAGTCACAGTCAATATGTGATTGCTCACCAAATGGGCTGCCAACATGTCGTAGTTGGTCTCTAGCGACTTCCTCTTGTCCCAAACATCATTTTCCCGAAAACTGACGTAGGCTGTGAGGAAAGCTTCATCCATTGCATCAGTCCAGTGAATCCTAGAAGCCATTTGCTAAGTTTGATGGGGAAAAAGAGTTAGCAGTGGACTGAGATAACAGAAATTGAATTAAAGTGGTTTGGAAACAGATCTGGACAATCAATAGTGAAAGCAAAAACAGGTGCAGAAGGAACTCAACAAAGGCACTTGCCTCAAAATAGACCTCAAGGCACTTGATGTAGTTGTTGGATGCAGTTGACGAACGGGTAGAGCAATCGGACGTACAGCTAACAGGTGAGGCTTCAAAATTCGAACAAAAAGTATTATTAACCAATGAATATGCTGCGAAAATTACTTTCTAATACAGCGTAGAAAGAACATACAATCGCAAGAAGGCTTCTTCCTCTTCTCAGCGGTCATAACCGAAGAGAGAACTGCCACAGAACAACCGAAATGGCAGCAGCTGGACAGTAAAATTATTAACTCATTGCAAAAAATATGCATCCAAACAGCAAATGGGAGTTTGCATCCAAACAAATTCCCAGCATGTTAGCTTTCAAGTTCCATTGATCAACAAAAAATCCCATGCTTCTGTTAATTCTGGAAATTAGCAGCCCACAATAATAAGGTAATTGACTCCTAATCGACAAGTCTATAAGCTAATTGACATGTATCTAACCTCATCAAATGAGACTTACAACAGAACCAAAAGTTATGAATTCAAGCATCTATAACTGTGCAGGATTATGTATTCCGTATAATCTGATACAATTTCTTTGTTGAAAAGGCACAAATCCTAGTCCTTTTATTTTCCTTTGGTTCTGGGTCACACTCAAAATGTAAAGATTCTTTTCTCTGGGCTGCTCATGTAAACTTTTGTTGTCAAGTATATGTCCAATTTTAATTCTTCTTCAAAACCATTTTTTCTTTTCCTTCATATACTGTCTCAGTTATGACTTATTTTATAGCATCCCATTAAACAACTTATACTACGTTAAAGTATGAGTTTATTATTCAATAATAAACATGATCAATGCCAAGGACAAGTAACTTGCTGCTAACTTCAAAGTATTAATCCAGGGACTCGTTGGCTCATTATCAGTAATATTTTGCATATTACTGCCTTGGGCATCCAGACGCCACCCACATTTAACTTTAAATACTTTATAAATTTTACAGCAGACCGGTATATTTTGCTTTTATGTTTCCTATCACACTTGTCCAATCCTTGTGCGTTATGAGGCAAACCTTTTTAATTGGAAAGAAAGCAAAAGAAACCATGGAAAAAAAGAAAACTGATTGCCAAAGGCCAATGCAATTAAGCAGTGAAAATCCCTTGTATTTTTTGGTAAAACTTTATTAAACAACTTCTGTCCATCTTTAATTTACGTAATTGTAGAATATATTTTACTTCAATTATTTTTTTTAAGGGTGATGAATTTATTTTTTTAAGGGTCATAATATATTTTACTTCTGTCCACCATCAATTATTTCACCTGCTTAAATTGACATATTCCAAAGCAAAATTAACTTCTAACATCAACTTATCCTCCTAATAAATTCAGGACAGATTTTATTTTCCCCATTAAATTTTCTTTCCATGATAAGAAAAAAGCCCAAAGACAATAAATCTCCCTGCTTGCAATATATCCAGTTAATCCAGTTTTAATGCTCATAACCTCCCAATTTGAAAGGCCAGAGCAGCTTTATTCCACCATTCATTCAGATTCGGGTTCAATTAATCCTAAGTACATTTTAATCTACCATAAACGAAATCTACTCTTCGCACACAGCCAACACAAAATCAGGTGTCCAAGGGAGATAATCAGCTGATGAAGCCGTGGACAACTAGAAAGACAGATCAACGCAGGTTTATGGAATGTAAATTGCAGCTAAATCCAGAAAATCGAGGGAATTGTACCTGCCGCTGTAGATAGGGAGAAAGTGGAATGGGCTCGGAGCAAGAAATTCCGTTTGGGTGTTGGAAGCGTCGACCGCGGCAGGGTGAAATGCGTCCGATAGATTCAAAACTTCAGTCAAGGATCTTGTTTGCCGGACGTCTCTGCAAGCTGGGTTTGATTGCAGCTGTCTTTCCCGTCTGTTGGTAGATGAAAATGGCGAAGAGAGGCCCGAATAGAGGAGCACTTCTAGCCTTTGTGCTGTGTTCAGGAGTAAATGCCTTTACTCTCCTCAACCAACGGTTATTTTTTTTGCAGGTTTCCGTCAAAATGCAGTTGCCACGTGAAGGAATGAATTTTTGCATGACTTTAGTGCAAAAGGCTGCACCTAAGGAATCCAATGTCGGAACTCTACAGTAAATTACCCCACCACTTTTATTTACACAGTACAAACGCTAATTTCTTAAAATTTCAAATTACCCACCAATTATGCTTTCCAAACACTCCCAAGGTTATCCCTGATTCCACTTGAGGTGCCCACATACAATTTACCCTTGAACTTTAGCAGTCCCTTGTCCAGTTGGTAGTCCGAGTTGAAGGAAGGATCTAGCAACAGTTGTGGAATAAGTTCTTGAGCCATAGCATCTCCTGCATAGCTGTCTAGCAGTTCTTGTACCCACGCTGGTTAAGCAGAAGAGATAACATTCAAAGTTCCATGTTTGGTTGAAGGCGCGGCACTTTGATCAGCTATTCGTCATCTAGATAATGCGTCTGCCACTCCATTGTCAATGCCTTTCTTATATTGGATCTCGTAGTCTAAGCCTAACAACTTGGTCAGCCATTTATGTTGCAACGGGTGTGTAAGTCGCTGTTCCAGCAGGTATTTGAGAGCCTGGTGGACCGTTCGAATGATGAAGCGATGGCCGACCAGATAGTGTTTCCATTTGGTGATAGCCAACACCAACGCAAGGAGCTCCTTCTCGTATACCGACATTCCCAAGTTCTGATTTACGAGAGCTTTGCTGAGGAATGCTATGGGGTGTCCCTGTTGCATCAGGACAGCCCCAATTCCCACTCCACAGGCATCCGTTTCAATAACAAAAGGTATCTCAAAGTCGGGCATGCTCAGTACGGGGGCCATCGTCATGGCTTTCTTTAAGTCTTCGAAAGCCATCTGAGCTTCAGAATTCCATACAAACCCGTCCTTCTTCAACAGCTGCGTCAACGGTTTACTGATTACCTCATATCTCTTGATGAATCTTCTATAATACCCGGTTAATCCCAAAAATCCTCTCAGCTCTTTCACAGACTGGGGTGCTGGCCAGGAAAGGATGCATTCTACCTTAGAGCTGTCCATGCTTACACCTTTTTCAGATATCACATGTCCCAAATACTCCACCGAAGTTTGGGCAAATGAGCATTTAGATCATTTGCAGAACAATTGGTTGTCAGCCAGGACTCCAAGGACTATTTGGAGATGCTGAACGTGCGACTCCAGGGTGGGGCTATATACCAGGATATCGTCAAAAAATACTAACACAAATTTTCTCATGTATGGCTGAAAAATGCGGTTCATCAAGGCCTGAAAGGTAGCCGGAGCGTTCGTAAAAAAAAACGGCATGACCAAGAATTCGAAGTGACCATGATGCGTCTGGAAGGCAGTTTTGTGCATGTCCATTGCCTTAACTCTGAGTTGGTGGTAACCAGCCCTAAGGTCCAACTTAGACATATACTTTGTCCCATGCAATTCATTTAGGAGTTCATCTATATTCGGTATGGGAAATCGGTCCTTAATTGTCAACTCATGTAACTTCCGATAATCCACACATAACCTCCATGAGTTGTCTTTCTTCTTGACCAGCAACACCGGAGAGGCAAAAGGACTACTGCTATGAGTAACGATACCGCTAGAGAGCATTTCAGCCACTTGCTTCTCTATTTCGATTTTGTGTGCATGAGGGTACTTGTAAGGTTTAAGTTTGAAGAGTTCCGCTCCCGATTTGAGAGTGATTTGGTGATCCAACTCTCTTTCCGGGGGTAGACCTGTCGGGGTGGCAAATATTTACGAATACTGTTGCAGTGCCGCTTCTACCCGTTCAGGGACATCTACTTGCCGGTGCTGCTGTGATTCAGCTTGTAAGGCTGCACAATGCCTGCGTTTCTCTTCTATAAAAATCCTGAGGTCCTTGCCTCTTACCAGTTCCATCACAGGCTGGTTGATAAGCCCCTGTAAGTGTAACAAACTCCCACTACTGTTGAGGGAAATGCTGAGGCTGTGGAAATCAAATGTAATGGGACTGAACTGGTACATCCAATCTACCCCTAAGATAATGTCCCAAGTCCCTAATTCCATTACCTTCAGGTCAAATTGAAACTGATAGTCCTGTATCCGCCACTGGACCCCTGGACAACTGCGCCACTAGTAACATTAGTACCATCCGCCAATGTGACTGTGAAAGGAGTCACCTCGCGGTGAGGTAGGTACAAAGATTTTGCAAGTCCAAAATGAATGAAGCTATTCGAAGCCCCAGTGTCCACCAAGATTTTTATTGGTAGTTCTCCCATGTTACCTCGCAGTATGATAGACTTTCCGCTCATGGCATCATTCAAAGCGTTTAGAGAAATCTCTGCTAGTTCACCAACTCTCCCAGTGTTTTCATCTTGTTCCCCTTCAGCGTCTTCAAAATCTGTTTCTTCCCCTTCCTGAAGATCCAAGCAATTCAAGTTCCCTGTCCTACATCGGTGCCCCGCGCCAAATTTTTCACCACACCTATAGCATAGACCGTGTTTGCGCCTATATTGGATTTCTTCAGCCGAGACCTTATTAAACTCCCTGGCCACGTTTTCCTGCTTGTTATTGTTGGGAGTAATGGCTGGAATACGGTAGGAGCTGGAAGACCTCTGTCCACTAGATATATTCTTAGACAGCCCAAATCTGGATTCTAACATCATTTTTCCAGCATTTCGCTAGTGCTTTGCTTGCACTTCTAAGGAGCACTCTTGTAATTCAGCTACTTCGAAGGCCTTTGCTAGTGTTTGTGGCTTAAACATCTTCACCATTGGCCTAATTTCCTCCTTCAACCCACTGACAAAACTGGAGACAAAATAAAGCTCATCTAGTTTCGGATTTCTAAGTAACATGAGAGTTTTAAGCTCCTCAAATTTCTCCTCATATTCCTCTACTGCCCCCTTTTGTTGAAGTTTATTGAATTCTTCTATCACATCACGAGAGCCTTTACCAGAAAATCTTTCACACAACAAATCACTAAACTCTGTCTAGGAGAGTTGAGGCCTTTCAAGTTTCACTCCTTGAAACCAGTTGTCGGCCTTCCCCTCGAGAAACATTTCTACCATCTCTACTTTTTGGTTATCAGGAATCTGGTAGTTCACAAAATATTTCTGGCATTTCCTAAGCCATTCCATAGGATTACCCGCAGCAAACATAGGCATTTCCAATTTTTGCAAGATAGGGGTGAATTGCTTACTTCGGCTCTCTGGTGGTGCGAATTGAGCACCATTCGAATTTCCCAGCTTCATGTGCGGAGGTGGAGTTGGTAATAGCGGCTTGGAGATCCTCGTTTCCAGCTCTGCGCACCCTTTCTCCTTCAGCATTGCGGTCAGTAGGTTGTTGAACTTCAGCTCAATGGAGTCAAACCTCTGATTCAAGCTTCCTACGAGCGCTTCCAGCCGTGAACTCCTCTGCTCTAATTCCTCCTGAAACTGGTGCTGGCACGCAACTTGCACGCCGGCCACCGAATCCACCATTTCCTGCAGGCGAGCTTCCTGCTTCTTGAGCTGATCTTCCAATGTGCGAAATCTGGTGCTCTCCGCCATTTCCAGTGTCCTCGCAGCCAAGGATCGACTGCTCTGATACCAGATGTCAGGGCCCTAGGTTAGAAATTGGGAGATTGCTGAGACGGATAGAGAGAGGGAAGGGAGAATTGGGAAAAACAGAGTGCGAGGGAGAGGAGCGAGTAGACGTCAACAGGAGAGAGAGAACAAATTTGTTATATCTTTTCTTAAGCTTGATTCTATTACAAGCTTACTATTTATAACCTGCCTAATCAGTAGAAAATTAATACACGTGAATAACAAAAGGAACTAACCTAACTAACTACCAGCATTAGTTCCACGGCACCGTTTTGGGCCCAATGACTTATTCCTAAAACGCAGACTTCAATGAATGAAACGGTATAATTCGCCTAGGTCCCTGACATAAAGTCCCAAAAGACAGTGACCATCAAAAGAGACCTTTGCCATTGGCATTTTTGTTTTCCAACCCAAATTGGATTTCGTCCCTTATTTTCTTGGCCTTTGGAAGATTGGTCTGACTTAGTTGGAGATTTTTCATAGTATTTTTGTCACCTGCATGTCAACTTTCACACAAGCAAACACGCAGAACCCACTCAGAATTAAAAGAACAGATTTTTTTTTCTTTTCCCTATTCTCCATATTAAGATTTGCTAAATATAATACTATTGATCATGAAAAAACTTTCATAATAATAATAATAATGAAATTCAGGATGATTATTGGAATAACACGTCTGGCTAAAAGCATAACTGAAGTTATGAAACCAGATTTATTTTGCTTTTTCTATTCATGAAATACGCGTTTACACACACATTATGGTGTGAAAATCATAGAGATATATACAACACCATAACAATTTATGGTGTTATTGATTTCAAGGAACTCAACAAAGAAATTCAGAAACACGTCAATCGCCCTAAGGTGGAATACAATTTCAGATTTAAGTCAACTATAAGTGCCTCAATTTCCAATTTCTTCTGGAAACATAGTGCTTGCTTTACGATGCAGGCGGGTGTATTTGTTTATTTATTTTTTTGGGTGTGAAAGTTGCGTGCATGAAATTAGTATCTTGTTGATCCATGTGCTAGGCCGCCTAAGAGCTCAAAGCAAAAAAAAATTTTTTTTTTTTTTTTGAGAAAATAAAAGTCACTCGGCATAAAGGTTGATATGAATTGAAATTTAAAAAATTACACTAGTTCAATTAATGCACCTGGGCCACTGGACTTTGCCAATTTTCTGTATTAATCTTTTGAAACTTCAAAAGGGATAAGACTATGACAGAGCCCATTGATTATAGATCCAATTTTTGGGCTTCTTGTACAACGAGTGTACTTTAATTCCCAAGCCTAGCTAACAGCCGAAGGAGTCCAGAGTATGTTAAATCAAGAAAGGTCAGCAAACCACAGGCCATTTGGGTCGATTTAA